TGCAGGAGTTTGAGCTGCAGTGATTCGTTTTTTTTAAATGAACAACTTGAAAACGCTAGTCGAGAATGTCCAACAGAGACTGAGGAAGCATATTTAAACATAATGATATTGAGGCAGGCAAGGTAGAGTGGTTTGGGTTTTTTGCTAAGAGGGTTGCGGGTTCAAATCCCAACCTCAACATGACTGGTTTGTGTTCATTCCAAAACATTATCTCATTATTCGTTCCTATTGTCTATATACGTTATTAGTTCATTCTTACCAACCCTATGAAGCCTTCAGTTGGAATCTTTACACTTTTAAGTTGCAGTGGTGATAAGCTAGTGGCCCTTTGGCCCAGAGGCAATGTCTCTGTCATTGGTGTGGAACCCCAGGGTTCACCTCCTGGACAAGTTCGAATCCCAGTTAGGGCGGTTAATACCTTCCAGTGGACTCACCACCCGCAGGAAGGTTTGGGGGGTTGGTATGGTGCAATGTGATTTGGGTGGAGACTGCTGTCCCCGCAACCCGGTAGCGGATAAGCGGATGAAAATGGATGGATGGTGATAAGCTAAGCTAACGCAACTTTTGCACATAATGCAATTTTAGTTTGACTGAACAACATATGTCCTGACAGGGCTGTACCTTAATATATGATGAGAAAATAGAACTGTAACTAAATGTGGTCGTCCCAGTGACTCGAGGTACAAGCTCATACAAGGTTTTGTGTCTGCAGCTACAGCTAAAAACACGACTCAGCTAGCATTGACAAATCCCTTGGCCGGGCTACACTAAGGTGTGAACACTTTCTTTGTAACAGTTATTTACTGATGTGTTAATTCAATGAGTACTAGGAAATAAATAAAGACTTCACAAACTTTGCAGATAATCTCTAACTTAACAAGCCTGAACAAACCCAGTTACTGAATGTGTTTAGACAGAGAGGTTGTACCAGCAAAACCTGAATACTTACCTCAAGGTTTGGTGTTAACGAGAAAAACTAATTACAATGACATTTAATCTGATCCTTATCTTTATTTAACTGGCAGTAGGAATACACTATGTGTGTTGAAATCGAATCTGCAGCTATTAACCACAGACACATGTATACATGTTACAAAGTGAGATTTCATCTCACTATTGATTTCAAACTTAGTGGGTTTGAAGAAGCCACAGCGTAACTGAGAATGTGGTTGGACATGGGTCGATGTGGAAATATTACTTAACACAACAGTTGCAATTAAAAAAAAAAATCTACTACTTTGGTAATAAAACTTCAATTATTGTGTAGAGATAACGTCCGACACCTTGGATATTTCAATTTTTCTAACAATATAGTGAAGGCTTTAAAACATATTTTCACCGGGGGCCACATCATCAATACAGTTCCCCTTGAAGGGCCGGTTGTAAATGGAAAACTGTATAGATCAGGGGTCCACAACCCCTGGTCTGCGGACCACTACCAGTCCATAGGTCATTTGGCAGTGGGACACAGCACCTTGCTACCGGTCTGTATTTGCGGTCCGGTCTGTAATTGATTATTATTTATTCAAGCTACAAATATTGTTCATTGCTGTGTAATTAAAAAAAAACAACTTTTAATTTCATAGGTTAAGAAACTCTGCTGCACAGACTTCACTAAATGTTTTTTAAGCTCCAGCAGGCCACAAGAAAACGGCTTGGTGGGCCGCATTTGGCCCCCGGGCCTTGAGTTTGACAAATATACTTTAAACTTTGAGAGGTTTTATTTCAAATTTAAAGACATTTATGTGTGAAAGTTTTGGGGTGGTCCTTGGCTCAGTAGTTGACGGATCAGGGTTGTTAAGCGAGGTCTATTTAGCATTAAGTAAACACTCTAAAAAACTCTACAGCCAAAGCGCCAATTGCGCAACCAGTTCCTCCTGTGTGTTTGGTGTTTCACAGATGAATGAAATAAAATGAATTGAAGCGAATAAAGCAACAAAGCAATTGTTGGGCCTTAACCGCCTGCTTTTAAACCTTTGGTGAATGCTGCTTTTATACTCCAACCTACCAGATAATCTACTAACTGACTAATAACCCACTCATTTTTATGACTAATTCCGAACTGTTTAACTATTGGGAGGGGCACACATTTGTGTTTTGGTGTGTTTGCTTTGGTAGTGTTACGTGACATGAGTTAACACATTGGTTCTCCAACTTTTTCTACTCTGTACCACCTGAGAAAACCTTGATCTCTATGAGTACCACCATGATGACCAACATTAGAATATAGCAGCGTAGGCCTTCACTGTTAGCTTCCACCACAGGAGAGATGTATAAAAATGTTTATAAAGATGTTTTTGTTTAAATGTTGTATTAATTGTGCATTGTATGTTTCAGATTTATTCAACTGAAAATGTAAAAATATGAATTTTCGCCCCTTACCACTAGAGAGTGCTCGTGTACCACCGGTGGTATGCGTACCACAGTTTGAGAACCTCTGACTTTACATATTTTGTCGCCTGCTGAAGTTTTGAGGTGAAAAACCAAACTATAGATTTCAGCCAACATCCAATGTACTCATAAAAGAAACATCAAAAGTTGACTTTCAGTGAAACCTGTTTCTTTCAGTGAAACCAAGAAAGCACATTTTTTCTCCCTCTCTCCTGCCTTGCTCAACCAGAGAGTCAGAGAGCATGTGGCTCTAATTGGCTTCGTACCCATGTGTATATGGTCCACTGAAATCAAAATGGGTCAATCAGTGTAATTGTGCCAATTAAATGTCCAAACTCTTTAAAGCTCTACCTCCAGGTATGGGAGTGTTGCAACAACACTACTCAGAGGGAATTTTACCATCTGTGAAGCACATACAAGTGAATCAATGTGTACTGCACATACTGCACGCTCTTCAGTACACACTCCATACACATTATACGTACACGTACATTGTAGTAAGATAATGTTTTTTATTATGTGTTGGCCGACTATGGTTTCTGGCTTGTAATAAAAGTAGAGGTGCAGGTGTTCTTTGGGGGCGAGGGTGGGGTCGACCAGTTTACTGATCAAAGATACTGGGGGGTGGGGGGGTGGAGGGGGTCAGACATGGGATGACTGGTCTGAAGATATTTTTATGCTGTTGGTGGTAATGTCTGCTTCCTTAGGGGATGATTAAGAAAGTGCTGTAAATTACATAAGTGGCCATAGATGAGTTCTTGGGGAGTCCTATTTCAAATAGAGCTATTACACGATGACAGGCATTAAAAGGCGAGAGGGAAATAGAGGAAGGCTACATAATCCAGTCTTTTGATGGCTAGGACCCAGTTTTTGCTCTTTTCAACTATTTCAGTCATGGCCTGAGGCTGAACAAACAGGTGTCTGGCTGCAATCTGGGTGGAGCGACAAACAGATCTGGGCTCATGATACAGTGTTAAAACATTCTGGAAAAAAAAAAAAAAACTTTTTGTTTTTGTGTGAATAATTTAGGTTAAGTGAAGTTCATTGCTGTTTTATGTTTCTCGCAAAAATAATGAGACAAGATGGGTTCTTTTCGTGGACGGTTTTATTGTTTAATAGCTGTTAAAATGGAATGCTAATTGTTGTGGAGAGTTAAAAGCTCAAAGGCACTTAAACGAAGTTCCACCCCCACCAAAAAAAAAAAGGTTTTACAGCGACATCTTTGTCAATACTTCATTCTCACTGTGAAAAGAGAGGAGGAAACTCAGGATAGTGTTTTTTGATAGGAGAAGAAAAGAAATGAAAACGCCCTTCACAACTTTGCTCACAAAGGGGGAAATGAGATAGTGTTTCTTGGCCACAGGGGTATTTCAGGATGCTATAACGAGGTGTGCCAAAGAGGAACAGAGAAGGTCTCTGGCAATTACAGTCAGGGCTTAAAAAATAGCAGTGTCATCTTAGAAGCCTTTGTGAGTCAACGGGGAATGTGTTTTTACAATAATCCTGAAATAGAAGTATGGGTTGATACAGCATGAATCCGATCCCTGCGCATACTCTCTGCTTTGAATTTATCAATAGTTTGGAGGCATCAATAATGGTCGTGATTTACGATGTTGCGCCCTGAAGATACAGTGGTGGCACAAAGATTTTAGGGTTTTTTCTGTCTTCAGTCTTTGTTGTCTTTGTAAGTGAAACTGAAAGCAAAAAAAACACAAAAAAACAAGAGGCCCATCATCCTCACGTTGAGTCAAAGTGCCTTGATGAAAGTCAAGAAAAGGCTGAAGCCTCAGACAAAAGCTTTGTCCCATCACACATTCTTTTTATCAGGTTTGTGTCTGGCCCAGAACAAAGAGTCTCCCCCCCACCCACCACCCATCAAGGACCCCTTTGGTCTGGCCCTTGACTGACAAGCACGGTCAAGCCTTCACAGCACAGAGGAAGTAACTAAAGCAACAAGTGCCCGCGGTGGCTAGTGAAAATGATTGACAGAGCCAAGATAATCTCCCCCTCTCAACATCATTGAGTATTCAGCCCTCAACAGCAGGAAGGGTCAGTTAATGACCCCTGTTTGTTTCTTTTTTTTTTCTTCTTTTTTTTATCCCATATCCTCTGAACTCCCCCTTTACCTTTCACTGTCCAAACGTATTGTCTCATCAGTTGTCACCTCTGTAGTTTTCTTTTTAGAACTACCTGCAGGACTCTCAGTGTGTTTAAATCAGTGACAGTTACTGTGAGAAAACAAAGGAAAGCTGATGATTCGCTAAAGCATACAATGTAAAATAAGATGGTCAAATATTTGGTCATTTACTAAAGCTCACAGAACTTCATTCAGACTTAGCTGTTTGTCACTGATCATCTGGTGGTGCATCCTTTCTACAACGACCCTCGTTACAGGTATGCAGCCCATTTGAGGCTAAATACCAGAATTTCTCAGTAGTCAGTCAGAACTGAAGAAACTCCTCTTGGATTAAATTAAATTAAAATACCTGGATGACTGAGAACCTACATAGACATCTTGACTTAATTGTTTTTCCATCTGCTTAAAGTATTTTTTTTTTAATATATAAACAAACCGAACAATGATCAATTTTCCACCTTTGTGTCTGCAGAAATCCGGATGGAGATGTCCAGCCCTGGTGTTACATTGCAGACACTGAAGATGGCGTCTACTGGAGATACTGTGACATCCCTACCTGTCAGAGTAAGGACTCATTGTCACTACTTCACTTTCAACACTTCAGAGTACCTCTCTCTATCTTTTGTCTGTTTATGTCATCATGCCCGCATCATTGGCAAACACACCAACTATGTCTATTTCTAGGCTCTTATGAATTTCTTTTTAAAGGCTGCAGGTCCTCGCACAGTCATTACCGTCTTAAAAAAATCTCTAATTGCTTCCCATCACTCCCTCCTTGCCTGGGCCTGTCCTCATTTTAATGTGAGCTGTCAATCATATGTTGTGCATATGTGTTTTGTCTGTATGCGTTTTTGAATGCGTGTCATAAGTTTCCCCTTTGGCTTAAAGGCTTGTTTGGACATGGTTGATGATGTGAGTGATTTTATGAATCTACCTGATGTACTTGTATGGTTTCACATGTGAATGTGAGCTCTCCAACAAATCCAACATTTCAGACCTGTGTTATTACGTTTTTGTGAGTGCCCTGAGCAAATGATGTACCGTACAACTGGAGTGAAATCCCATTCTCTCTGAACTGCTCTGCAGTGGTCAGACTTTATTGGTCCTTGTGTAAGCTGAGGTGATCGGAGTTTAGCAAGTGTCACTTTATGGGGTGAAGGTTTTAGATTACTATTTTTATTGATCACAAATGCCAAGAAATCTTCTACATCCTGTACTTTGATCTCTACCTAAACTAATTTATTATAAATAAAAGTAATGGATACAAAAAAAAAAAAACCTAACAAAGTATTTACACACTCCCAAGTCTGCAGACTATTTCTATAAAGTTCTTTGGCAGCCACAAAGAAGTAATTAACTCAGTAAAAGAAGACAAGAAAGAGTTCCTTGGTTTATTGAGCAGAAACTTTTATATTTATTTAGACTTCCCAATGGCAGGCTAAATAAGAGCATGGGATGAGTTTTTTTTGTTGTTGCTGTTGTTCTTGTTGCAGAACTACACTATTTCCTTAGTGCTGAGACTTTTGTTGCTTCTTTAGCCATAACAGCCCTGGTATAGACAAATGGTGTGGTCAGCTCACAGACGATGGAAATGTGAACCAAAAAGTCTTAAAATGTTGATAGCTATAATCGCACTGTGAGTCTACACCACACAGATTAAAAAAAAAAAAAAAATTATGGTGTTGGAATTCATGTGCCTTCTTTGATTCACTCGTATACGAATTGAGAAATGTAATGCTTCTTTTCTCAAATATTTCTATTTTACAAAATGAAAATGTGATTTATTGGGATTCATTGATAACAAAGCTTTAAAGAAACTAGAATATATTTTTATTGCATTCTAAAAATACTTTTGCCGAGTGGACAGAAAAATGTCATTAGCTTCGTTTCTGGATCTGTTTTTTTTTTTTTTTAGAAGTCATATAGTATATAAACATCTTCAGATTGAGGTACTGTCGTACATTGTTGTCATCGCACTGAGATGTTTGGTTCTATACTCGGTACTACCAGCTTCTGAGATCCTTACTGACCCTCCAGGTATTCACTATTATGCTGTGTGAGTAGGAACTTTATCACTGCCTGATGTTTGAATGGCTCAGTATCCATTAACCCAACTAATTATGCCTGTTGGCTAGATGACCTGTGTGTGTGTCTGTGTGTCTGCATTCTGTAAATGATTTCATGTGTGTAGGAGATTAGGACTTGTGGGTGACCTATTTCAGTAGCTTAATGTTTCTTGGACAATGTCCCAAACTTTTGTGGCTTAGAGGGAAGCAGGAGGACAGCCCACCGTTTGTCGTGGGGCTTGTATCTTATCTTTGCTGAAATTAGGCCGGCTTTTGTTCCAAATGGGTTTGCCATGTGTTGGTTTAACCATGTTTTTGTCTAGGATCTAGTCCCGCACAATCTGTAAGTGTAACCCATACTGGAGACATGTGGCCCATTTCTATAAGCTGTGAGCTTCACCCATATCAGATGTTGTCTTACTCCGGCGTTCTCTTTTCTATTTGGAAATCAAAAGTTATCGAGCCCTGTAATGTTAGTAAAGAAGATGAGCTTCGCTGTGAGCCAGGCTTCCAATGTCATGAAAACGGGCCTCTTCATCGGAGACGGTTTCTCCCTGCAGGGAACTTTCAGACACAAATGCTCTGTCTCATCTATTGTGAAACTGCAGTCGCCACGTGGTGGCTCACCTTCTGGCGGTTCTTGTTCACAACCTGCTGCATTTGAAAGCTTCAGCACCCAAGTGAGAAAACACTGATGTTCTCTGTGTTAGTGTTCGGATTCTGCTGCTGGCACATGAAGTGAAAAACCATGTGGTGCCCTAGCGAAAGGGCAACAGTGCCCTTTGTTTTCATTTTGTCTGACTTTTGTTTTGTCTGCGCCTTCGTTTTGTCTACTCTTCTGCTAACTTTTGATGTCAAGTGGCTGGTGGTTGGTGGCCGCCGGCTGAGGCACCTGGTTCCTGCCAATGGCCATTCTGTTATCCAGCCGGGCTCCCTGTCATCTAGGCCCAAGCCACCCGGGTGAGGGTGACACACCCTGGTTTCGCGCACACTGCCAGGCAGGTCACATGAGGCCAGAAACACATACTTTAACAGTGTGGATTATAGGGTAGGTCACAGCAATTGTTGATCTTGGTAATCCTTTATGGCTGCAGATAGCTGCTGGTGGAATTATCTAGCATTTGAAAACAGCATGTTGTCAAAGCACATTGTCTACTGTAGTTATATCGCCATAATTCCTCGGACAGTGACAGGTGGTACACAAAATTCTCCACTAAGAAAAACCTTGTAAAGAATATTGCTATACAGTTTGAGTGAAACTATAACAAATTTGACGAAAACAAAAACTTAGTAGAGGGTTTCTTCCATCCCTAACCCTTGTTTTTTTTTCTGTATTCAAAGTTAGTTAATGAACTGAAGTTAGTGTGCAAGACAGGAAAGCCCCGGGCCAGCTTAGAAAAGGTGTGCTATGAATTCCTGAAGGGATTTTTTTGTTTTAGTGCGTTGTATCACAGCAACTCAGTTTACTGTTTTACACATTGTTTCCCAAAGACTGGATCACGACCCTCAGGTGGGTTTTTTTGGGGGGTGGTCTCGCATCATGTTTACCACGAGTTTACCAATAATGTCTATTGGATCTTGGGTCTCAAAGATTGTGACTTTAAAAATATGGGTCCCCAGAAAAAAAGGTTTGGCAAACACTGATATAACATTTTCCATTAGGCAGGTATAAACACATACAACCAATTTCTCTGTTCATGTTCACCGGCCTTCCTGGGTCAATTGGGAAAACTGTATTCATAATTTAGTTTAGTTTTTAACCCCAACCTTCAGGCTGTCACACATTTACTTGCCTTCCTGTGGCTGGAAAACAAACGCTTTGCCCGGGATGAACAGGTCCAGCTGCCTGGCCGCCCGCTGTGACCTGGATGTTTTTCTTTAAAAAAAAAAAAAAAAAGGAAAAGGAAAAGAAAAAACAGGTGAATGAGAAATAAAAGTCTCTATTTTGCTGAAGAACACATGTATAAATATTAATGTGGCCAATGTGTTAATGTATTGTCACAAGAGCAAAGTCCTTCTAAACTAATTTTAAATTTTCATTTTATGGCATTAAATGGCAGTAAATCATTTAGCGCTTGCTTATAGGCAAGGTAGCACGTTTACTCGATTTCCTTTTTCCCACAGTTCCCTTACACTGTTCTACACTCACAACATTTTGTTATGTTGTACTGTAGCTGTGCTGTGTTGCCAAGCATTTGCTCGACAATGTGCCCTGGCTCCGTTCAACTGACGCAGATTAAAACTGTCAAAGTGAATTCTCGGAGCATTTGCCAAAACAAACACACTCTGATTTGCTTGTTGGGAGCTCCTTCACAAAAACATAAAACGAAGAAGAACTTGTTTTGCCACTGCACTTGTCTGCAATAAAGAGACTCACAACAGCATCTGTGAGGGCTTTATCATAATGGAGCTGATAGTGAACAATTATAGGAACATAGTAGTTATTTTAACATTCATATATATTTTCTCTATATTTTATTTCTCACTGCAGATAATCTGTACATTTTGACTGTTTTCATCTAACCTTTCATCTTTTATCCAGTCTTTGACTTGAACTAAGAGGACACTGATGGTTTTATTGTCTGTCAGTGTTTTATTGCTCTGACACCTGAGTATTAATTAGACTCGTGTGACTTATAATAACATACATTCTTCAGGAAGTTCTGATTACGCACATCTTTCACCATGATTTGTTAAAACAACAACAGGAGTCTGTTTGAGCAGCCACACCTCTGATATATTATAAAAAAAAAAAGGACCGGTCATATTTGAACAAAGCTTTTATGGCTTAATGGCAAAAATAATTTGTGGTAATAAACGCACCTGTGAAAACTGAAGTAATGAGACTTGACGTCTTTGTGAAGTTAACACATCATCAGTGTTGGCTGTTCAGATGTTGAGGCTAAAAGTCGTGTTATTACTTTGTGAAATTATAAAGATGTAGGACACAGAGTAAAGTTAAAGCTGGACAAATCAACATACCCTTACCCTGTATATTTTGGTTTTATGATTTGGACCCCCTGTGGATATATGAAATAATAATGACCAGTCCTAAATACGTCTAATAGGTGGCAGTAACACAGCTCACGGGAGTCGCGGGGCTAGGGTGTTATCTGGATTATCTTAGCCTCAGTGGAGACTCTCAAAATAAAATGCTAGGTACTATATCGGCCCTAACATTCCGCAAAAGATAGTAAATAGTCAAATGGTGCAACTAAAATGCTACATGCTTGTGCATCATGCTATCAGTATGCTATAATGCTAGCCCTCTGAGAGCACCAACATGCAACGTTTCCTTATGGGATTTACATATAAACGTACCTAGCACCACCTGGAGTTCAGAGAAGGATGCTATGTGTTGATTGCTGACAATAAAACATACTGTATGTCTTTGTAAGTTCTCAGTCATCCAGGTCATCTTATCCAAAGCAGTTAACTAGAGGGCAACTGGATTGTCTTAGATTCTTGACGATTTTCACCTCTCAGCCAAGGGATTTC